ATTCGTTAAGAACTGAAACAGAAAATGAGTTGGGTCCTCTAAGAACCCGTCTTTTTGTGTGGGCTGGCTTAGGCCCAAAATCAGGCTTGAATCTTAATGCTTTAGTTCGCCCATAACCCTTTCGCCCCAAATCAACTTTAGGCCAATCTGTGCGGCCCAGCCCAGCTTCCTCACCAACCCTTGTAGATAAGGATAGGGTCGAATCTGGAATTGAGGCTCTACGAGCTCCACGTGTAGATTTATCCTTGTCAACTATGACGCGCGTGACCGGCGCGTGTCGTTTACTTGATCTTCCTCGCACCCATTCTTTCTCAGGCATATGATGAGGCCTGTCGCCGCCTTCAATACTCTCTGTCGAGGGAACCAACGCCGGCGCAATTTCTTCCCAGATCGTCACCTTATAACAGAAAGTGTCATCATTAATAAACACAAATTGCGGACAGGTCGATCCTATTCTCACTGTAATCTGAACACTTTCGGCATCCCTTGTTTCATCAGCAACAACTCCCACAAATCCGCTGCACAACTCCCCTATTTCAACAAATAAAGCATGCCACCATAGGTGAAGGGGAAGTCCAAACAGCCGGATCTGTTTGAGACATTTTTCTCTTAGGACGCCGCAACAACCAACCCTAAAAGACCATACATCGATCCGTAGGGTTGCAGATCCCCATTGACGCCGGCCTTCCTTCAACACACGTTGGGCTTCGGCCTGAGAAGGAAACCTGAAAAGGAGCAGCGAATCAGATAATGGAGTAACCCCCATTCCACAGGACGTATTCCATGCTCTCGCGGCCCAGTCCTCCACACGATCACAACCCCCAACTTCCTTGTCAAAACGCCTGACCAAGCAAGATGAGAGAACTGATTTCCTCCCTGCGATGGACTCCCCGTTGATGTACAAAGACGGTCCTCGATGTGGAACTGCCGACTTCACATCCCCAGTTATTGAAATTCTTGGAATCCTTGCAATCTCTAAATAAGATTTCATCACGAACGAAAACAAAAAAAGAAAGAAGAGAGAGAAAGAAAAGGACAAAGTCACTATCGCCTTGAATCGCCCCTAGTGGGGTGAAATCGCCCATAGTGACGTCATCACACAAAATACATAACAGAAAAATAAAATTCAGGACCCTAATTAGTCTTTTATAGCCCAACATATAAGGGCACTTAGGGTTTGGAGTGGTGAAAGAGAGAAAGATTGAAATTCGTACAGAAACAGAGTGGGGCTGAAAACTTGTAATCTCCAATTTTACACATAGTGAAAATTTTCGCCGGATCCTAACTGTGGACGTAGGCTGTTGCCGAACCACGTATAAATCTTTGTGTTCTTTGTGTGACATGTTTACTTTTCTGTCGTGATTCTTGGTTCAACTTGGGTTCGTTGCGTTTGTCATAACAGAAACCTTATAATTTCTTTAAGAAAATGGCATAACACCCTTATGCTTTTGCATTCAAATGGTCGATTTAGTTGCAAGTATTATAGAGGTGTCCTAGATATCACAATGTTTAATAAATTTCATTTCCTTTGATTTTGGTTCATATATTTATTTCATTATTTCTTTTGTGTGTGTGAGTGGTAGGTAGGAAGAAATTTCATGAGATTATTATTTTATAGTAAAAAATTAGCACAATCTAATCAAACTTTGTCTGAGAAAATAAATGGAAGGGTTAGCTTGTATGAGGCTCCTGCCATTGCGGGGTCTGATATACGCAGCCTTACCTCTCATGCAGAGAGGCTATTTTCCATTTTGAACTTGTGACCTCCAGGTCACAATGGAGCAACCTTACCGTTCTGCCAAGACCCGCCCTAAACTATTCAATTTTGTCATATACCTCTAAAGTATCAAATACCTCCCTGAACTAATATAATACGTCACTCAAGACTAAAAAGTGATAGAGCCATTGGTTGGATTATAAAATGACAAAAAATTCCCTTTTTGGTGTAACCCTGTTACATAGAAAGTTAGTATATCATTCATATATATATATATAGAGAGAGAGAGAGAGAGAGAAACAAAATGTAGAGGGAGAAAGCCTTGGGTTTGAATCCAACTAAATCCTATTCCTCCTCCATTATCATGTTCGATTAAACCCTTGAATATCCCACTGCACCACCATATTCCAATGCCACATATAGAAATGCCGCCATGATCTGATCTCATAACCAATTCTATGATCTTTTCTCTCTAGCTTATCTCTCTGATTCAGCACGCCAGCCTTCACTTTTAGATCTCTGCTCCCTCTCTCTCTAGCCCTTCAGTCTGAAAATCTGTAATTCTTATAACTTATGAAACAAAAAATAATAATTCTTATAATACCACCTTTTTAGAAAATAAAAATGTCCTCTGCATCTAATACTAACCTGAGGGAGAGAGAGAGAGAGAGAACATTAAGACAAGCAAAATTTCCCAGATAAATTGAAAAAGTGCCAGGTTAACGTCGTTTGTGATTGTTGTGGGCGGAGGTGAAGCGAGTAGGCTGAAGGATGAGAAAAAATGATTTCTTTGACCCACAAAGAGCCACTTGTGATCATAAGTGAGAAGGCTTTTTTATGCAACTATGCATTGCATACAATTGTAATTAAATTTGGTTAAATAGTCTCTTAACAAGCCATGACACCCGTCTTTATTGCTGGCGGCAAGTCATGGCTGAACCCATTGACAGCTTTGTTTAGTGGGTTCTTTATCTCTTGTGAAGTTCAAAGTCACCAACACAGTAGACAAAAAAGAATACAAGGAAAATGGATGCTTAAGCAAAAAAATACACGAAATGGAGAAGCAAAATTATCCATTTTGGCCACGAACCAGTTGCAAAAATCATGGCTTAAAATCGTGACAAGTGGAGAAGAAGGATATTGTTAGCAAATATGATAGCCACGATTTATGGAATGACTTACCGTATTAGCATAGATTTGATTATGCTATAGAATATGCCATAGAATATTATGTGATTTGATTTAGATTTGATTTTATTTTCTTTCTTGTAATATGAGCATGTGCTCTTTTGTATCTATAAATACTAGAGTTGTAAATGAGTGAATATATCATTCAAGCCTTTACATATTATAAATCTCATTCAAACCTTTTACATATTTCTCTTCTCTTTCTTCTATATGGTATTTCTACTTGATATCAGAGCCAGGGTGGTCCGACTGCAATGAGTGCATTGTGAGTTCGGCACCACCCATTCGGGAATGGTCTAAGGTGAGATCGCCCATCCGGGGGGTGTCGGGTAGGCAGGGTGATCCGACCTCAATGAGAGTGTTGCGAGTTTGGCACCACCCATTAAAAAATGGTCTGAGGATACATAGTTTTTTCTTTTTTATGGTCTAAGGAGATATTGTTGATTCTTTCATCTACATTGTTTAAACATATGTATGAAGGGGAATGGTCTGAGGAGACATTGTTGATTCTTCCATCTACATGTTTTAAACATATGTATGAAGGAAAATGGTCTGATGAGACATGATTGGTTGTTTACGGTCTAAGGAGGCATTTTTTGATTTGTTGATCGGCACTTCATTTGAGAGAAAATCATCGCTAGTCAGATTTGCACTCTGCAACTTGTAGATTCTGAAGAAGGGTGGTAGCAAGACCGTATTTGAAGATGCATTGTCCAAATTGGGCATCTCAGATATCCACGCACCAACTTGAGGGGGAGTGTTAGCAAATATGATAGCCACGATTTATGAAATGACTTACCGTATTAGCATAGATCTGATTATGCTATAGAATATGCCATTGAATATTCTGTGATTTGATTTAGATTTGATTTTATTTCCTTTCTTGTAATATGAGCATGTGCTCTTTTTTATCTATAAATACTAGAGTTGTGAATGAGTGAACATATCATTCAAGCCTTTACATATTATAAATCTCATTCAAACCTTTTACATATTTCTCTTCTCTTTCTTCTATATTGTATTTCTACTGATATGTTACCTTTGGAAGGGTATTTTAGTAGGGTCGGGTCTCTTATAATGGGGTTGCAAGAGTATTTTAGTAGTTGAAAGGACATATTGGTCATAAAATGTGCAACAATGGTCACGTGATACTCACATGTCGGACTATCTGTTATGTTACAATGATACTAACAGGCTTACGGGAAGAGGGTAACTTGTTGACATTTCAAAATGGCCAGAGAGATTATCTGATGATATAGTAATACAGGTGGGTGATACGATAAAATATTATAATTTGTTGTTTGGTGGGTGTTTTGGGGGGGGGGGGGGGGGGGGGGGGGGGCGGGGGTGTGGGGTGGGTTGGAGTTGGTGGTTGTTATGACAAAAAGCCTAAAATATAGATGACCTACTTTCGTCACTGCATTAAATTTGAATTATAATTTAGGGGGGTTTACCCTAAGTTTGGTAAGGAAAATGATATTCGCACTCCAATTTTTATACTCATGGACTCCACTTGCATTTTTTTTTTTTTTTTAATATTTATTTATAAAAGAAATGATATAATTGTTCTTCAAAAGCACAGTCACATTCTACAATTATTTTAATAATGTACTCCTACACCAATTTTTGAAGGGTAATTCATAATTATGTTAGTCTTTTACTAAAAAAAAAATCAAGCGGAGTACAAGAGTACCACATTGGACCCATCTTGTAATGTTCTAAACAACAAATTTAAAAAGAACATTAGGTTGTAATGTGAATGATTTTTCTTTAACTGAAAACCATTTTCTTTTAGGGGAGAGGGCTCAAATAATGTACATAAATAAATGCAAATAATGGCACCCACTTTATAACACTAAATTTTGATTACACACAAACTATTAGGATATTGTTTGAATGTGTAGAATTATTATCTTTAACTCTCTTGAGGAGGGGTAAATGTTCATATCAATATGAGGGTGGACAACACCTCGCATCAAAATAGACATGAAAGGATGTCAGCATCTGCCCCTACTTATGGTATGAACACTTGCACAAGCTACAACCTAGAATGTACGAATAAATTTTGTATTGATTAATTTCTTTCTTTTGACAGGTTACACGCTCCATTGGGGATGATGATCTAAAGCCTGCTGTAACTGCTGAACCTGAGATAACTGAAACCATATTGTCTTTGGAGGATGAGTACCTTGTAAGTTTAATTGGACAATATGTTGTTATCTGTGTTTTATTAAATATGCATGGATTTCTGTTGTTAAAACATGGAAAAAATGACATGTTAAGTGTTATGAGTAAATGGTAAAAAATAAATTGTGGCTAAAGTTGAATATCTAATCTTGCATCGGCCTTGATCATGTAAACAAATTTTATTCAAAACGTTGCATTAAAAAGTTCCTTTTTTTTTTGGAAGTGCTTGGTTAAGTAACGTGATTCATGTTATTTATTTATTTTTATTTACTTTTTTGAGTGTGTCCAACTGTCACTTAAAGCATTGCTAGTTGTTACACCTACTTTTTATCATAAATGGTTTTCTGCTTGAAGTCTAGAACCTGGTAATTGTGAGTTAAACATTATATATCTTAAAAAATAAGATAATCATGAGAGATTTGATATTTTTATTTTACTTTTGGAATGGTTTACAATAATTAAATCGTAGTGTCTTGGACAAAGGAGTCAACTTCAATTAAGTGATGTCCCCTTCTGGGAATAGAATGGCAAAAAGGTAGTGAAAGTGATTTTATACTATTTTTTTCAAAATTCTATTACGGAAGAAGGAAACATGAATTCTATATGGTATTAACTCCTACAATCACATTGAATTTTTATGCACTTCTACTGGGTGTGTACCATTGTTTACTGGCAATAGGTTTTTCATGAACCAAAACTTAAGCCTCTAATTTTGTTTCTGTCAGTTGTAAGGTTGCTTCATTGTGATCTGGAGGTCACGAGTTCAAAACAGGAAACAACCTCTTCTAATGCGGAGGTAGGCTTGTGTACATTAAACCCTCCCTAGGCCCCTCAATGGTGGGAGCCTCTTGCACTAGGCTAGCTCTTTTTATTTTTAGTTTAGTTAGAATTTGAAACTACCTTTTAAAAAAAAAATTGAGTATAAAACGAGTACTTCAATCGATTGAGGTATCAATCGAGGGCTACTGGAGTCATGTCGATCAATTATGTGTCTCTTGATCAATTGAACTGCTCAAGAATGCAGTTTCCTTTTCAGCCTTTAACACTAAAAACTCTATCATCTATACAACACCAATTTGTCTATAAATACATTATCCTATAACAATCCTAGACATAGAGAGAATACATAGAGGCTTGTTATATTGAGTTTTTAAGAAAAATTGAGTGCATACATATTTTTCTTTTAGCATTTATCAATTTCATTAGATTGGTGAATGTCGTACGAGTGTGTCAACAACATAATATCTCTGGAGCAGATTTGAATGAGTTCAACACCAACAATTATTTGATCAAACTAAGATACGATTGGAAGACTAGTCATTAGAGATCAAATTACTGGTTGAAGAAGCAAATCTCATGAGAAGTGAATTTATTGACGAGCGGATTCTGTGCCTGGAGGCTCGAGTGGAGAGTTTCGTGGATCAGTTTGTATCAAGAGGTAACTAGGAGTTTTGGGGTTTGGGAATTGTTAACATAGTTGTAACTACTAACTTCTTTCTCACACTGATTTTGGTTTGCCTTGACTAAATCCTTAGTTTTTTCCCGTTTGAATTTTTCACATAAAAGTCTCAGTGTCGTTATTCATGCTTTCTACTAATTTTTTAATAGTGTTGAATGGTAGGATTGATCAGCTTGATGGATTGATTGAATTTCATTACTTACCTTTAATTTGAAACCGAAATTTTGGTAATTTAGTTAAAAATTCAAAAAGTAGTTAAAATTAGGCAAAGCTACAAGCAAGACCTATTCACCCCCCTTAGGTCTAGATCACGGACCTTATGCAACTCTATATCAGAGCCTAGTATTACGGTCCTCACTTCGTCATGATCCAATTGTGGAAAGAAGCATCCTTTGGTTCAAAAGTCAACACAATACAGGATTGCATTGGTTTTGACTGAAGTAAAGTTGTTTCGTGAGAAATTGTAATTGCCTAAATGGGGCTATTGAACATTTACATGCATTCTTCTCTAATCATTAAATGAACTTTAGAAAAGTGAAGGCATTTTGTTGCTTTCACTTTCCGGGGAGTGTTTTTTTACCTGTATAATATTGAAATCGTCTCAGGTGCATTATTATTAGGATATAAACCTGTGACGATCGAAGTAGCTGCCCTTGAATGTTCTTGAATAATAAAGAAAAGGAAAGTTTCTTTTCCGGTTATAGATGGATATTGATATTGTACAATCTTTGGCAAATGGCAAGTGACCCACTGTATTCTTATCAAAATCATGTCAGTTTTGCTACAATTGCATATTATTTATTGAACTTTATGGAATTATATATGTAGTGAGGCTAATTCATGCACTACATACTAAATGGAAGATAGCTTATTGTTAGAGGTTCTTGTCCCACGTCGGATCTGGTTGGGGAAAATATTGGGTATATATGGGTGGGTATGCAATACTATCCAACATCTTAAGTTTTTTTGGTCAGGGGGCAAGTGTCCGACCTGTTACAATTAGTTTAGAGTCAGACCTAATCCTTAATCCAGTGTCACGCCAAGCGCCCCGCCAAAAGGTGTTCGGGTTTGTCTCCACTAGGCAGAGTGGTCCGACCACAACGAGGGTGTTGTGAGTATTGAACATTTAATGGAAGAATTAGTAGAGTGTTTCCTATTATTGAAGATTTGGTGTTACTAAAGGAATCAGTGGAGAAAAATCCTCCTTGTTTCCTATTTTCTAATTCTTTCCATTCTCATAATTTCTTCTCCTATATAAAGGAGCCTCAACCATTGTATTGTATATGAATTGAGAGAGTATTATAAAAGTGATGTAGCCCTTTGGGCTCTTTGTGGTGTGGATATAGGCCCTAGTGGCTGAACCACGTAATATCTATGTGTTCTACTTATTTTATTTATCTCTTTGCTTCCTTTTTATGCTTTACAACGGTGAGTGTAGGTGGGGGAGAATGTTGGAGGTTCTTGTCTTGCATCGGATCCGAATGGGGAAAATATTGAGTATATATGGGTGGGTATGCAGCACAACCCAACAACTTAATCTTTTGGGTCAGAGAGCAAGCACCCAACCCGTTACACTCATTCTCTGTTATATTTTGGTTTTGATGGAGGGTTAATTCATTTACATGATTCTCATGTTTCCACAGGGTTTGAAGACATGTAACATAGACTAAAAGAAAAAAAGTAGAATGTAAAATAATTTTCCAGCGTTGCTTTTGTGCGTATATTATTCATTCCTGATGTATTTTATTGTTGTGTTTGTCAAACAATGAAATTTTACCTTGAGAAGAAAAGCAAAATAATGCATGGCTGGATAGGATCACATGATGATTGCCATTGCTGATGCTTATGAGATATGTTTCATGTATAGCTGGGTCCATACATGAAGTTTTATTCAAACGGATGGTTTTGTGAGAATCACGGTTTCCTCCCAAGGCAAGTAATATGTCTTTTGATTGTCAGGTAATTGCTAGTGATGGCCTCTGGGATGTTATGGACAATGCAGAGGTCGTGAGCATAATCAAGGACACCGTGAAAGAGCCTGGAATGTGCTCGAAGAGATTGGCAACTGAAGCTGCTGAACGTGGCAGCAAAGATAACATAACTGTTATTGTTGTCTTTCTGCGCCCAGTCTCTACAGCAGAGAGGATTTACTAGGTTCATGGTCATTCTCTCTATACTTGCAGGGAGTGGTGAATATTTGGTCGTGGTGAAGGTACACCGCTTCATGTGGAGTGTTTGTTATAGTATTACTGTTAGTTGGGAAGTTCAGCCTTATGTTGTAGAATTGATATATTTGAAACATGTATTAGCATTCAATACATCGAACTTCAAAGTTAATGTTACGTTTTACCCTGATGGTGAACTCAAAGTTCAGTTGAGTTCACACATCACCCCTTTGACATTACAAAATCTAACCAAGAAATGTTATCATTTTTTAGTGTTTCTGAAAGAGAAGTACTGTAGTATTCAGAAATAAACAAATAAAAGTATTTGAGACCTGAATAGCGAATTCTCATTTTACTTTTAAGAGTTCCCTGGTTAGTAGACTTTCTTTTGATTAAGTTCTGGCAATTGGCCGTTTGAATTTCAACATTAACAGGTCACGTGACAGCCCGTTTTTATTTAAATGACCATATAACCCTTAGGGTTCGTTTGGTTAGCCGGAAATTGATGGTGGAAAGTGAAAAGAAAAGAAAGTGAAGTAAAAGAACAGAAAATTATGTTTCTATTATGCATTTGATTAGCATGATTTTTTTTTAAAGAATTTGTGGGAAAATGTTGTTTCACTAGTTTGGTTAGCAAGAATGTGAAAAGAAATTGATTTATATACCAAAATTACCCTTATGAATTCAGTACCAAGAAAAATACATCAAGCAACAAGCATAATAAAAAATATAAATAATTTTTTTATGAATAAAAATATATGTGCGTGCATATATATAAAGTCCTATTTTAAAGAGTAGAAAATTGTAACTTAATTAGTACCAAGTAAAATACATTATGCTTGTTAGAAGTCCTAAATTAAAGAGTCAAAGAGTTATAATATAAGTAGGAGTCTTAATTTATCAAAAAGAAGTATAACTGACACAATACGCGAAACTGAAATGTTCGCGTGTTTTATAGAGGAAACATTTTGAGGAAAATCAATTAGTTGCAGAAATATTACTTTTCTGAAAATTTTCCTTTTCACGCTAACCAAACTACCAAATAATTTTAAAAAATTTCGTTTCCTTTCTAGTTAGTTCACGCTAACCAAACTGACCCTAATGTCACGGGCTTAGAGTTTCAGCACCACTCTAGCTGCTCCCGTGCGGCACCAAGACGTTACTTCCACTCTCGCAAGTACTTGGTCAACCTAACTCCCGTGCACACCTTAGCCAACACACTCCCCTCGTGCGCTTACTAGTGTTGTAGTGGCCCTCGCCCTCTCCTCACTTGGCTTGCACACTCACACACACTAAAGCACTTAAGTTGGCAAGGAAAGAACACTTCTATTACTTCAAAGAATATTTTGTACAAGGCTAGCACTCAAACTCTCTACAAGGCTCTCAAGACTCACTCTAGGACTTGTTGGTTGCAAAATGAAGTCCTACTCCTATTTATAGGCATCCCCATCCCTAATGGATGGCTAGGATACATTCTAACCAACGGTGGAGATTGATTCTCTAGAATCTTCTTCCACCTTCTACACATCTCCATACATATCTACAACATTCTAGAACCCTCCATACTACTCCACACAATTCTGGAGAATTCTAGAACCTTCCACACACTTCTAGAATATACTACACATATCTAGAATCTTCCACACAACTCTAGGCTACTCCGGAAGACTCTAGAAACTCCACTTGCCATGCAGTTGCCATGCAGCGTCTGCGTGTCGCCTGCGTGGTACAACCTCCATAGACGGGGCGTGACACTCTCCCCCACCCATTTCCGTGACGCCCTCGTCACGGTTTCTTCAGCTGACCCAGCCTCTCGCAGGTCATCAGCACTTGCGCATATGTCCTTGGCCCAAACGTACGAGCGCCCTTCGGGAGATGTGAAGTCCCCACGAGCTCCATCGTGTTGACTGCCACCTTTGGACTCTCCTTCCTGCCCATGAGCGGCACCATGCGTGCGGCCTTGCCTTCTTCACCTCCAAGTATCATCAACGCACCAATGCATGGTAGTGGCGCGGCGTTGTTCCTGTCCACGGCGTTGTTCCTGTCCATGAACTCCAGCCCCAGCACCATGTCATGGTCGTCTATCTCCGCAACCTGGAAGTCGGCCTTGCCCTTCCATTCTTGCATGCATAGCTCCACCTCCTTGCACACTTTACTCACGCGTGCCTCCTCGGAGTTGACGGCCTTGATCCATCCCTCCGTCTTGCGCATCTCCAAGCCAAGTCGTTGCGCCTCCTCTGGGGTAATGAAGTTATGTGTGGCGCCCGTGTCCACCAACGCTTGCACGGCTTTGCCACCAACCTGCACATCCACATAGCGCACCCCAGTTACTTTCTTCGCCTTGCCCTTTTTCTTGTTGTCATGCGCCATGCTACTCAGCATCTGCATAGCCCCCATGCACCTGTCTTCGTCGCTGCCCGTATCGTCCACCTTGCCCTTGCCCTTATCTTTCACAAGGGCGCTCATGGTCTTCTTGTTGGGGCAGTGTCGCAATATATGCGGCCCTTCGCACAAGTAGCACTTCGGCTCCCACTTGCCCTTATCGCGGCGCTCCCCTTTGCCACTAGCCTTAGACCTCTCTCCATGGTCCTTGCCCTTATCATGGCATGGGCGTCTCTCCTCATCGCTGTGCTCATCATCACTTGACTTGGGCGAGCCCCTTTTCTTAAAGCGACGGTCTCCCCCACCTTTGCCGTGGTCCCTCCTGGGAGACGTGGCCCTCCTGTCATCGTGCCTAAAGTCTTCAAGGCGCTCCGCTATAGCCATTGCAGATGCCAAGTCTCTAGGCTCCCTCCTTCTCAGCTCTGTGGCTACCCAAGACTGCAACCCATCAATGAACAAGCACACGCGTTGCCGCTCCGGCATCTCTGGGATCTCCAGCATCAAGTTAGAGTACTCCTTCACATACTCTCTTATGCTGCCCTTCTGCTTCAGGCGCCTTAGGTTGATCATGGCCAGGTCCTCAACGCACTCAAAGTAGAACTGCCTCTTGAGCTGCCTCTTGAACTCCTCCCATGTGTCAACTGCTCTTGCGCCTCTACCAGTGAAGCGCTGCCTCCACCATAGAGCGGCAGTGTCCGTGAGGTACATAGTGCCTGTCTGCACCTTCTCCTCATCATCCTCGATCTCTATACACTCGAAGTACCGCTCCATGTGCCAGAAGAAGTTGTCAATCTGGCGCGCATTCCTTGCCCCATCGTACTCCTTGGGCTCCGGCGCCTTCTTCTTCCTGGGCTTCACCACGACCTCGCGCGCCTGGGAGAACTCCTTCTTACACTCGGCAATCTCCATGCGCAAGTCGTCTACCCGATCATGCAAGTCCCTTTCTTTCTCTTGCGCCTTGTTGGTGATGCCATCAATCAGCTCGTAGAGCTCCGCCATCCTTCTCTCGAGCCTATTAAACTTGGTCTCCGTGTAGACCAAGTGTGTGGCAAGCTTCTCCTCCAATCTCTGCTCTAAGATGTGGACTTGGTGGTCTCCTCCGCTAGCCATGTCTACTCCAACAAAGCTCCCTTGACGAACCTGCTCTGATACCAACTGTCACGGGCTTAGAGTTTCAGCACCACTCTAGCTACTCCCGTGCGGCACCAAGACGTTACTTCCACTCTCGCAAGTACTTGGTCAGCCTAACTCCCGTGCACACCTTAGCCAACACACTCCCCTCGTGCGCTTACTAGTGTTGTAGTGGCCCTCGCCCTCTCCTCACTTGGCTTGCACACTCACACACACTAAGACACTTAAGTTGGCAAGGAAAGAACACTTCTATTACTTCAAAGAATATTTTGTACAAGGCTAGCACTCAAACTCTCTACAAGGCTCTCAAGACTCACTCTAGGACTTGTTGGTTGCAAAATGAAGTCCTACTCCTATTTATAGGCATCCCCATCCCTAATGGATGGCTAGGATGCATTCTAACCAACGGTGGAGATTGATTCTCTAGAATCTTCTTCCACCTTCTACACATCTCCATACATATCTACAACATTCTAGAACCCTCCATACTACTCCACACAATTCTGGAAAATTCTAGAACCTTCCACACACTTCTAGAATATACTACACATATCTAGAATCTTCCACACAACTCTAGACTACTCCGGAAGACTCTAGAAACTCCACTTGCCATGTAGTTGCCATGCAGCGTCTGCGTGTCGCCTGCGTGGTACAACCTCCATAGGCGGGGCGTGACACTAAGGAAGCTAAAAAAGCAGTGTCCATTAAACCAACCAAACAGGCCTTCTATGCATATATATTTGTGTATGTGTCTCTGTCTATATTACATACAAATTCAAGAAATTGATGCCGAGAAAATGGAATCTGATTGCTTACTCCGGGTGACTACAACAACAATTCATCAATTTATATATATATATATTTTGTGTGTTTATATATATACGCCCAAATGCACAATTGCAGAACCTTCGCCCGTTTTGAGAAAATAGCAAAATTGAAGGCCCAAATCAACTTCATTCATCTCACAATACCTTTCACTATTGGTTCGTGTCGGACATATCTCCTTAATTTTGATACGTTTTTGAATATTTTGCATCTCTCGTTGTGTACCCGTCTCTGTGACCTTCGGTTCTGGTTGCTCGACTGTATGGTAACGTCTTTCTCTTTGGTTCACTGTGAATTGTTTGAGTTTCTAGAGAGAAGATACGGTTGGTGAGGTAGCGACGATGGTGGTGGCGGTAGGGCTGCAAGTTGGGCCGGCCCAACTCAGCCCAGTCCCAACCCAACCTTAACCCGGACTAAATATTTCCGGGCGGATTGGGTCTGGTTGACAGGTTGAGTTTATTTTATTTTATTTTATTTTTCAGGAATTTATATTATATATTTGATTATATTATTATTAAAAAACAAAATATTTTTAGGGCAAATCATTTCAGCCTCCCCAATCGCCTCCATCTCTATTCTTGTTCTCGACTCTGAACTTACCGAATCTCTCTCTCTCCAACTGCAAACTACAAAATCTACAAGAATCAGGAGTTCGAAACCCATATATTTCAGTTTATCTATCTGTCTGCAAGAATCAAAAGTTCAAAACCCCCATATCGGCATATCATTTCAGATTGTTCAAAAAATCAAAACCCATATCTTTCAGTTTCCATTGCCCGCAGTTCCAGTTCGGGTTCGCAGTTCGTAAGCTTCAGCCGCTGTCTCTCAACTCTCAAGCTTGCCCCCCTCTCTCTCTCCAACTGCGAACTTGTAAGTATGGGTTTTGTTTTAATTTTTGAAAGCAGCGGCAGCAGCAGCAGCAGAGGGGATGACGGCAGAGAGAGAGAGGAGAGAGAAAAAATTTTATTTTGGGTTTTGGGTTGGGTTTGGGTTAAGCCCGAGCCCA